ACACTGGGGGATTACTATACCAGATCTCAAAGTATACTCCTGAGCTACAGTCATAAAAACAGCATGGTACTGACACAAAAACAGACACACAGATCAACGGAACATCATTAAAGATCCAAACCTGAGTACACACAATTTCAGCCACCTGATAGTTGACAAAGGTGCCAAGAACACACAATGGAAGAAAGACGGCATCTTCAACAAATGATGCTGGCAAAACTGGATCTCCACCAACAGAAGAATGAAACTAGACCCTTATCTTTCACCTTGAACAAAAGTCAACTCCAAATGGATCAAAGACCTCAATGTGAAATTTGAAAATCTGAAACTATTAGAACAAAACATTAGCAGTAACCTACAAGATATAGGTGAAGGAAAGGACTTTCTAAATCAGACATCAGCTGCTCAGGAATTAAGGTCAAGAATTAACAAGTGGGACTTCATTAAACTAAAAAGCAAAAGAAACAATCAAGAAAATGAAGAGAAAACCCACAGAGTGGGAAAAAAATCTTCACCACTGACACATCTGACATAGGTTTAACATTCAGAATATATAAAGAACTCAAAAAACAAGCCAGAAAACAAATGACCCAATTAAAAGATGGGCTAAAGCTCTAAACAGAGAGTTCTCAAAGGAAGAAATAAAGATGGCTAAGAAACATCTTAAAAAGTGATCAACATCATTAGTAATTAGGGAAATGCAAATTAAAAACATCTTAAGATTTCACCTTACCCACATCAGACTGGCTAAGATCTCAATCTTAGCCATGTGGGTGCTGGGAATCGAATGCAGGTCCTCTGCAAGAGCAGTGAGTGCTCTTAACCACTGAGCCATGGCGGGGATGTGAAGAAAGGGGAACATTCATTCATTGCCGGTGGGATTGCAAACTTTTGCAATCCCTATAGAAAGAAGTGTGGGGAACTCCTAAAAAACTAAAAATGAACCTACCATATGACCCTCTTATACCACTCCTTGGCATATACCCAAAGGACTCATCCTATTGCAGAGACACTTGTACATCCATGTTTGTTGCTGCTCTTTTCACAACAGCTAAGAGATGCATGCAACCTAAGTGCCCCACAACTGACGAGTGGTTAATGAAATGTGGTACATTTACACAGTGGAGTTCTACTGAGCAGTAAAGAAAGATGAAATCACGAAATTTTCAGGTAAATGGATGGATCTAGAAACTGTTATATTAAGTGAAGTAACAAAGATTCAGAAAAATAAATGACATGTTTACCCTCATTTGTGGATCCTAGCCCCAAATCCTTATAAGTGAGTACATCACCTGATGTTAACTATAGGAACCAGTAATATGGAAGGGAACCAGGGAGGTATATGGAAAGAAGGAACCCAAGAGAGAATAATAGTAGGAGAAAGGTGTTATTAGGGAGAAATATGTAAAAAGGGGGTAGTTAAAGGGGAAAGGGGGAAGGAGGGCTATACAAAGAACTATGCGAATAAAGGGGAAAAAATGTCTCTTGATACATAGTTACAAAAAGAAAAAAAAAAAAAAAAAAAAGCCTAAAGCACAGAAGGAACCCTATGGGGATGAAAGAAAACCCTACCAGAAGCCCACAGGGTTGTTAAGTGAAAATCCCAGTACCAGAGGTGGGTTGTCCCCTGTAAGCTGTTGGCCAGAGGGGCCCTAGAAGTCTCCAAAACAATAAAGGCCATCGACAATAGTTTTGGTTGTACACCGGAAGTGGGCAGTAAAACCCTATTGGTGACAACACTGCATAATGTATGTGCTGGAGAGGGAGAAATCAAGCTTGGACTAAGCTGGATGGGTGGCTTTCATAGTGCCAGAAGGCAATGTGCAGATGGCGGGGGGAGAACTGTCTCCTATAATTCTGCACAATGATGGACCCTGTGTGCTTCACTATCAACATGCCAAACAAGATGTTCCTCCTGGTGCAATAGTGGCACATCTAGTGTACATACATCCAGCAAATTTTCGATTGGATATAGTGTCTGCTCCTAGAGGTGGAACACACATCTGGTACTGTGGACCAGGCTAACCCCCTGTGGCAGGGGAGGATATAGTCTCCAGTGGGGAAGCCACTGCAATTGTTTTGTTAGATGGATGTGATGTACCTGCTAAAGTACCACCCAAGCATTTGTGTTTATGCCCATAGGTTAAGTGATTATAGCAGCCACTGTTCAGATGGTTCTTGCTTCTTGTTGTTTTTTTTTAATAGTAGCTGAAATCCCACTGAAATGGGCTAACAGTCCATGGAAAACAGACGATGCAGAGTACTGAAAGTTCAGTGCCTTGCTACAATGGGAGGAAGATCATCCCACATTTATCACCCCTTCCAAGGCTCAGGGACTTTTGTGGAAGAAGTTGGGGAAAGAATGTAAAAGCCGGGGAAAAGGGTGGAGTGTTACCTGGGAGTGTCCTCTGACCACTATGCTGGCAAGCTATAGTCACACTTCCTTCCCACACTTGTCAAGGAGTTGACAGGAGAGTTAGTTACCACTCCCACCCAATAAGTGGAACTTAGCTGCATGTAGGGGAGAAAGTAAATTTATATAAGCTGAGAACACCATGAGGCACCTGTCTTGCCAATTTGTGAGGCTGTCAGGAAGTCACAGGATTTGTATTTAAGTGTGGATTTTCCAGAGCAGCCATAAACCAGGGGGGGGGTGGGGGGAGAACGACACAGTCTTCTTTCTGTAAACAAACAAACAAACAAACAAACCCAAAAAAACCCACCCTATGCTCTGTTAGTAAGTCTAAAAAGAAGAAGAAAAAAAGAACAGAGCTAATGGAAACCTTCATTAGTCTACCAAAGTTGACCCCATGTTGGCAAATCCTTTGGTCTTTGATTTCTTACCCCTAATTTCCTCCCTTAAACTTCACTGTATATATATATTTTTTATGTAACCTGCTTCAAGTTATTTCTGGAAAAATGTGTTAAAAATTGCCTCTCTTTGGAATAATAAAAAAAAATAATTTTTTTAAGAAAAAAAAAAGCTGAGTATGGTGGTACACTCCTGTATAAATCCTAACTCTTACCAGGCAGAGGTAGAAAAACTACCAAATTCAAGGTTAGCCTGGGATGCATGGTAAAACCTTGCCTCAAAAAACAAAACAAGGGACTAGAGAGGTGGCTCAGTGGTTAAGAGCACAGGCTGCTCTTGCAATGGACCTGGGCTGGTTTCCCTGCACCCATATGCCAGCTAAAAATTTTTTGTTGTCGATTTGTTGAAGATGCTGTCTTTCTTCCACTGTGTGTTCTTGGCACCTCTGTCAAATATCAGGTGGCTGAAATTGTGTGTACTCCACTCTGTACACACAATTGTAACTCCAGTTTCAGGGGATCTGACAACCACTTCTAACCTCCGTGGGCATTGCACAAAAAGGTGCACTTACATACAATGCAGGCAATACACTCATACACACAAAACAATAAATATTAAAATATATATATGTATAAAGAAAGCCAGGTGTGGTGGTGTACACCTTTAATCCTGGCACTTGGGAGATACAGATAGGTGGATCTTTATAAGATTGAGGGCAAGACCAATCTGGTCTCCATAGTGAGTTCCAGCCTAGCTGGGGGTACAAGGAACCCTGTCTTTAAAAAAAAAAAAAAGTAAATAATAAAAGCAATAAAAGGGTAAAAGGGTAGCTTTACATATCTAAGTTGCTTTAAACATACTTAGAAAGTTCAATACATAAGTTGGGTAGTACTTTCTAAATCTAAATTATAACTAAGTAAAATTTAAGATTCAGTTCCTCAGTTATGTAGACAAATACTTTAGGTTTCAAGGCATTGCTAGTGGCTACCATAATGACACTATATACATAAGCAACAAAAACATATCAATTTCTATCTTTTTAAAAGGGATTTATTTATGTGTATGTATGTGTCTGTATGAGTGCATGTGCATCACCCATGTGTAGGTGAACAAGGAGGCATCAGATCCCCTGGAACTGGAGTTACAAGAGGTTGTAAGCCACTTGATGTGAGTGCTAGGAACTGGACTTGAATCCTCTGTAAGAACAGAAAGCCCTCTTAACCACTGAACCATCTCTCCAGGCCTTCATTTCCAACTAATTATTACTTTGTGCTTGAGTTTATAATTACTGATTTACATATTCTTTCCAATCCATATTGTGGCTAATGCCCTTTTTTTTTTTTTCGTTTTTTTTTTTTTTTTTTTTTTGTTTTTGGAGACAGGGTCTCCCTGTAGCTACAGCTGGCCTTGAACTTACTATGTAGACCAGGGTGCTCTCAGTCTCAGAGATCCGCATATGCTTTGAATTCATAATTACTGATTTACATATTCTTTCCAATCTATATTGTGACTAATGCACTTTTTTTTTCTTTTCTTTCTTTCTTTCTTTTTTTTGAGACAGGTTCTCCCTGTAGCTATAGCTGGCCTTGAATTTACTATGTAGATCAGGCTGGTCTCAATCTCAGGGATCCACTTGCCTTTGCTTCCAGAGTGCTGGGATTAATGGCATATGCTACCACTTAATGTACTTCAGATACCTGCTTAATGTACATTTTAAAAGACACTGTCCTCATATTTAACATACAGTTTATAATGTAAAAGTATAAAGTGCTTTATAGATTATTTGGATAATTTTTTCTCTTTTGTAGTGAACTCTAATTTACTAAGTCAACCAAACAGAAAATAAAAATCACATTTGAGATATAACATCTTAGAACAACAATCTTAAAATAACAAAATATAGGTCTTCTGATACATAATTCTAAAATTTCAAAATCTTTTCTAATTTAGCTTCTATAAACTAAACTTTATTAGTTTTGTAAAGGCAGTGAAACTACAAAGTGTCTTAGAAACCGAAGAATACTGTAAAAGTATTTTCTATTTTATACAAACACAATACAAATAACAAAATGAAGATTAACAAAGATAGAATTTAACATATCCCTTCCTCATTCAAAATTCCCACTTTATTCTACAGACTGAAACCTAACACTTAAGCACAGTATCCAACATAATGCTGCAGTTTTACCTCATGTAAAGCTTTTGCCTCTTGTAAGTTTTGTATGCTGACTTTGAAACCGTAAGTATTATTTAAAGACGGTCCATCAATCTGGGAAGTTTCTTTCTTTGGGGTATTTACTGCTGCAAATTGATTCTATTAAAAAAAGACATAGAAAAAAATATGAGCAATTATTTTTCTTTTGATTATTCTCATTTAGATAAATGTTTTATGTGTTTAATAGTAAATGAAACCCTTATCATCTCTTTAAGTATAAAAACTATTTTACTAACATTTATTTTTTTTTAATTTTTTGGTCTTTTTGAGACAGGGTCTCCCTGTAGCCCCAGCTGTCCTGAACTCACAGTGTAGACCAGGCTGGCCTCGAACTCACAGAGATCCACCTGCCTCTGCCTCCCGAGTGCTGGGATTAAAGGTGTGTGCCACCATGCCCAGCAACATTTATTTTTTTTAATAATAGGATTATATAGAAATAGCTGATACAACCTATACATTGATATTTGAGCTTACAAGCCCAAAATACTGAAAATAGTCTGATAGAGAGCTGACATTTATACCATATGGAAATTTATTTTTCTTGAAAATATGATAAATAAATAACACATTTGTAACTACATGACTAAAGTTTATACAAGACTTAAATTCTGCATCTGTGCTACATCTAGTGCTACATGTATTTGAAAACAAACCTTCAAACACTTAGAAAATAGTACAATCTTTGCCATTCTTTTCCTGTTTTTTGTTTGTTTTGGTTTTTAAAGACATCTCTCACACTGTAGCCTAGACTAGCCTGGTACTCACAAGGATCCTTCTGTCTCAGCCTCCCCAGTACTGGGATTACAGGTATAATTAGCCCCTACATCTAGCTTTATTTCTCAAAGAATTTTTCTGCTTTTTATACCTTTTAATCATTTTCCCTAAAATGTACAGCTCACTGTTACTTTGTTTTTACTATAGTTTACAATTCAGTAATTTTATAAATGAAAGTAAAAAAATTAGCCTCAACATATAAATACTAAAACACATCTTTTATGTTATGACTTTCATGAGAAGTAGCTAATATGAAAGTGATTTCTGTCATGTATTTCCAGAGACAGATGGCTAATGTGTATCTCTTTTGCATAACCATATACTTCTCAATTAAGTACTATCATGTTTTCAGTATTTAAATGAAGACATTTATAATCTTTCAATTTCAACAGTAAATAATGTTGCTTTCCTCTGTTACTAAGTGAAGCAAATTTTAAAAATTATGTCTGAAAAAGTAAACTAAGGAAAAGGATATATTTTTGGTGGGATCAAAAATCACTTACTTGAGCTCTGCTGTGATTGGATTGTTCTGATATTGCCAGTAACCAGTTAATGTATTTGATCCTCTTAATCCACATTTTGGCTATCATATTCATTTTCTCTGTAATATTTGTATTTACATATAAGAATCTTTCAGACCCCCCTAAATTTTTTAACAACTAAAGAAAAAGGCAATTTCTTGTCGTCTCAAAGATATGTAAATATGATCCAAAAATAAGTAAAAATTAAATTGAGACACAGTTATCATTTACCTAATTGAAATCTAAAAATAAGACTGGATCTTCCATTGATCTCTAAATATATTTAGTATAGTTACCTTCACTTGTGTTGTTACAAGAACTCTTCTAAGAGTGTCAGTATTACTTCCTTTGTTATAAGTCAACTTCTGGGTTTTTGGTTCTGTAGAAAGAAAGAAATTTCATTTGTAATCTGTACATCAAAATTACCTGCTTAAGTATTTTAACAAATTTTGTTGTTCGAAACACTTAAATCTCAGTGAAGTATCCTATAAGCTTCACCATATTTCATAATTTAAAAAAATGAAAAATAACATCTCTACTCTCCAACATGGAGCTCTTCTTTAAAAAGGGTAAAAACTCATTCAATTTTATGTCTTATGT